CTGCGCCCCCTGTGGGGCCACGAACCGTGTGAGGGGTGCGCCGAAATGGACCCGAGACCTTCGCTTGCGCCCCCTGTAAGGCCACGAACCGTGTGAGGGGTGCGCCGAAATGGGCCCCAGGCCTTCGGCTCCGCCCCCTGTGGGGCCACGAACCGTGTGAGGGGTGCGCCGAAATGGGCCCGAAACTTTCGGTTGCCCGTCCGGACCCCCCCCCGGTTGTTGTGAGTGTTGTGGGGGGGGGGGGGGGTGTTGTGGGACACGGGTCGGGGCGCCCCGCCCTTACTAACAACAGCAACAACAACAACAACAACAACAACAACAACAACATCAACAACAACAACACCACCACCAACAACAACAAAAAATACTACTAGATCAACAACAACGCACATAGTCTGACTGATCGCTCTCATTTGATTGCGGGCCGTTCAACATGTCTATCCCAAATCCGCCGACCCCTTGTGGGTCTCTAGGCGTGTGAGATAGTTCCCCCCCCATAATCCCCCCCCAGGGACCCCAAACCGGAGATTTGACCCCCCCCCCCCGGGCCCAGCACGAGCGCGCCACGGGCTTCTTTTGGGCCCAAAAGGGGATCAAGACGGGCCCAGAAGGCTCCAAGAGGCCTCCAAGACGGCCCACGAGGGCCCCGAGACGCCAAACGAGCGTTCCCACACGCCCAAGATGGCCCCAAGACGAGCCTAGAGGCCTCCAAGACGGCCCAAGAGGTCCCCACGAGACCCCAAGAGGCCTCCAAGATGCGTCCCAAGAGGGTCCCTAGACGCAAAAATTGGCCCATTCCCTTCGTAAAACGTATAATTTTCACAAATTCGCTTTCTGGGCTTTCCGACGCTCCAAGACGGCCCAAGAGGCCCCGAAGACCGCCCCAAGACGGCCCAAGAAACCCCCAAGAGGGTCCCAAGATAGCCCAAGAGGGCCCCAAGACGGCCCAACAAGCGTCCAAGACGGCCCAACAGGGCCCCGAAAAGGGCCCCAAGAGCGCTCCAGGAGCGCCCCAAGTGGCCTCCAAGAGAGCTCAATATGGTCCCAGACAGCCCAAGAGCGATCAAAGACACCGAAGATGGCCTCCTGACGGCCCAAGATGCCCCCAAGAGGCCCCAAGAGGCATCCAAGATGCGTCCCAAGAGGGCCTCTAGACGCAAAAATTGGCCCGCTCCCTTCGTAAAGCGTGTTTTTTTCACAAATTCGCCTGTCGGGCTTTCCGACGCTCCCAGACGGCCCAAGAGGCCCCCAAGACCGCCCCAAGACGGCCCAAGAAGCCTCCAAGAGGGCCCCAAGACAGCCCAACAAGGCGCTGAGACGGCTCAAGCGGCGCCGAAGACGGCCCAAGAGAGCCCCGATGACGGCCCCAAGAGCGCTCCAAGTGGCTTCCAAGAGAGCTCAACATGGTCCCACACGGTCCAAGAGCGATCGAAGACACCCGAAATGGCCTCCAGATGGCCCAACACGCCCCTGAGAGGCCCCCAAGATGCGTCCCAAGACGGTCCCTGGACGCAGACATGTACGTATTCCCGTCGTGAAACGTACAATGTTCACACATCCGCCTTCTGGGCTTTCCGACGCTCCTAGACGGCCCAAGAAGCCCCGAAAACCGCCCCAAGACGGCCCAAGAGGCCCCCAAGACGGCCCCGCGACGGTCCAATATGGCCCCAAGACGGCCCAAGAGGTCCCCAAAACGGCCCAAGAAGGCTCCAAGACGGCACCAAGAGGGGCCCAAGAGGGCAACCAACAATTCAAAAATCTAGCTTTCCGCCCCCACGAGCCCCAGGGGGCCCCAAGAGCGCCCCAACAGGCCGCCAACGGCCCTCAAGAAACCGCCAAGACGCCCCAAGGAGCCCACAAGAGGCCCCCAGGAGGCCCCCAAAAGACCCCCAGACGCTTCCGTATTGCGAGCCGTCACGCCAACTGCAATGCACTCCGCGCATACAACCTTACTCTTCCTCGCGACGTGCTCACTATCTTGCTCGGCGCTAATGTGCTGCTGCCGCGCGAACTGTTTCGTGCGCGCTGCGAACGTCAACAGCCTCTTCACCCGTTTCGATTCATCTGCCACATCTTTCGCTGTGATGCTTCGCTGATCACAGCTTCCACACACTACTCTTGCTCCTTTCGTCTTCCAGTGCTCCTCCACTTGGTTGCGGGTCGAAAGGCCGACCTCCCAGAAGGACACCCCGCACCCGGGTGCACAGCACGCAAAGCGCTCGCAAAACACGCCCCAGACCACCGGCATCACGCAAACATTTGGACCCCCTACGTATCTGCCACCACCCGCGCGCGACACCGCACCCTCACACAAGACGCCGCTGGCCAGAAACTCCTGGCCTCGCAACACTCACAGAAGGGGTCGGCGGATGTGGCGTAAGCCTGTAGAGTATTCGATACCCGCCCTGTTCGTCTTCGATCGAGACCCCCTATCGGGCAGATCGTACGTGCCTCCCTGGCCTGCCACGCGCTGCTGGCGCAGCCCCTGAGATCAGGGAATGGAGGGAGGATGGGGGGGGGGAGACGCATGGAGCGCCACGGACATGGACAGTCAGAGCGTGAATTACCTCCCCCGCTTTCGCTTCCAGGCAAAACCAAGCCATACCACGCGCCTCCTCGTCAAGCGGCCTGACCAGTACAGGCCGCAATTTGGCACCGTTTGGTATCTCTTGGAAGCGAGGGTGGTCAAAAGCGAGGGAGGCTTGTTTTCCCCCGAGACAGGGAGGGCCTGGAGCACGAAAAGCAGGCGGCCGAACAAGACGGGGCCGCTCGGGCGGGCGGGCCCCCACGGCGGACCCACGGCCAGGTCGAGCGGGCGGGTCGCCCCGCGTCCAGGACGCCCCGCGGGAGGCAAACTGCTCGAAACTTCGTGCGACTCAAAAGAAACACTTTGAGAGTGCGACTTCAGCAATTGACTACCTACCAGACCACCCCAACCCAACCCGAAGACACGCATTTGACCCGAATTTCGGGTTGGGGGGGGTACGGGGACCATGTGTTTTTTCGATGTTCCCCGATCCCCCCCCACTGGAAATGGAGGGCAAATTGAAGCCTTCGGGTTGGGTTGGGGTGGTTTGGTGGGTGGTGAGCAATAACGAGGAACACAAATGCGAATGCGTGAAAAAACGTAATGTGAGATCAGATGCGGCCGTGAACGGAAGCGCGAGTACAGCGAAAAGCCGAAAAAACAAGTGCGACCTTAGCGCAAACGGGAAGTACAAGCGCGACTTCGGCGAAAAGTGGAAGCTCACATTCCCCCGGAGGCCAATGTTAACAGTCGCGACAACTCATCGCAATGACGCGAACAACGCTCGCTGAAAATAACGAAATTTACTCAGCGCCACGCCGCGCCGGCGGCCGCGCGGCCCAACGGCGCGCGCCATTGAAGGGCGAGCGCGGAGAACAGCGGCGCCCCCTATCGCGGCGCGCGGGCGATATGGCGCTGGCATCGCCTGACACGTCGCTCGCGCGCGGCGCGGGGCCGATGGCGTGGGAGGGATCGCTCGCGCTCCGCGCGAGATACTGCCCTGGGGCGCCGTGGTGGGCGGACGGTCCTCTCATCCCGCGGGAGATGCATGCACCACGCGCGGCCAGGCACGCGCGCGCGCAAATCCGTCGGCGGTGCCCGTGGAGATCCAGGAATCACCCAAGACGGCGGCGCAACCTCCAAGAGCAGCAGGCCCCAGGACACGGTACCGCCCTGCTTCCGTCGGCACATCGTGAGCAGAGGTCCATCCCGCGAGCACCCCGGGGCCCGAAGACAGAACGAGAACGTCCGCCGTCTGTCTTCGATTCACAACGCCGCGGCCCTTGCGTCCCTGGATACCTGGTGCCCCGATCTGCTTGGACCCCGGGATTTGGGCGCGTGCGATCCCTGCCCTGGGCCAAGGAACGGGCTCCAGCAAGGGCAGGAGTGTCGAAAAATGGCCGCTCCGTTTTTCAAGACGCCTGGAGCTCAAAGGTCTTCGCGAAATCGACCCCGCGGACCTTGTGACCGCCCGTCTTCGCAAGTCCAAACAAGCATTCCTTCCATGAAAACTCGTCCCCTTGTTTCTTAGTTGTTGCATAAGTCGTACTGCGGCCGAATGTTGTCGCATTCCCATTTCACCCCGAACTTTTAATACTAGCTCACACTCGCATTTCAGCTTTTCATTGAAGTCACACTTATGCTGGCGCACGTTTTACATGCTTGGGGCGCCTTAATCCTGCATGAATCGCGAGGAAATCTCAAGCGACAGCGCGCTTCCCAAATAAATCGTGGAGTTGTCCAGAGCGGGAGCGGGATTCTTGAGTGCCGAGGGCACGGCGTTTCAATAACTGGCGAGGAAGCTCCACGAGAGAGAGAGAGAGAGCGATTCAAATCGTGAGAGGAAGTCCGCCGCGCGAGAGCGCGATACTGAATATACTGTGAAGAAATGTCCGGCGGGAACCGTTGTGGTTGCGGTTCGGCGCCCGACAACGCAATCCGAGGCGCAAGACTTTCCCTTGTAAAAGACCGGGTGCGAGCCCCGGCATGGGCACTTCAATCGAAGAAACAAAATGTGCACCGCAGGGGGGCGGGGGATCAACACTTGGCCCCATGCCCCTGAAGGCTGAAAGTATACTTGGGGCCAGATAAAGAGGGGCTGCCCTAACGTTAGCAAGTGAAACACTGCCAACGGCTTTTTTCAATTCAACAATCGAGGCATACGAAACCCGTATATTCCACATGCGAAATAGATTGATGTTCCTCCTAGTTTTCGATAGGGTCAGGCACTTAGGCCTGGCCGAAAGTTTGGGAGGTGAGGGGTTCTCTCGCCAAACGACGACATGCGCACAGGCGACCCATCCAGAGTGGTGCGTCCACACACGACGATGTCTTGAGACAACACGGCTACAGAAACCCCTCGCCCCCCTCGCCCTCCCCCTTCCCCTCCCCAGTTTCCCCCCATTGCCCTCCTCCTCCTCCTCCTCCCAGAATCCTGTCCGCACTCGAGGCGCGCGGACAAAGGGGGGGGCGCGTCTGGTCAGTCGCCATCCACTTCTCGACGCCCCAGAGTTTCTTCTGGAACGTGCCCTCCACCTCGCGGGGAGGGCATCGGGAACAGGAGAGGGGAGAGGATCGGGGGCATGCAAACATTGATCGGCCGCCTCGTTCGGAGGCGGAAATTGGGACGCACAGAGACATACAAATACTAGTCCGCCTTGGAGGCGCGCGTCCGACCCGAACACATAGTATATCCATACTGTAGTATATCCTTTTCCCGAGCGGTGTGGCCAGAAAGCGCCCGCCGCGACACATATACTATAAGATTTCTCGGTGCGCGCGTCGCCCCTGGGGGGGGGGGGGGGGCGACGCACATATAGTGTAAGTATGTTGGGGTGACGCCGAGAAATCCACGGTTTCCCATGGAAACGGGACCCGTCGCTAATCCACGCCCCCTTGATCCGTGTTTGCGATCGCCTGAGAGAAGAGGGCGAAGGGAGACCACGAAGGGGGAGAAGGGGAGGTTTTTTCCTCCCCCTGCGTTGTGGGACTGACAAGCCCAAGCATCGGAGCAGAGCGCCCGCGGAGTGCACAGGGTGGACCTCGCCACCACCACCCCTGGCCCCCCCGACCGCGTCCTCGATGCGGCCGAGAGTCGGCATGGGCTCGACGAGCCCGTCAAACACGGTGGCCAAGGCGCTCGCCGCACGCCCCCGTGGTGCCCGCGGCGGACGCATCACTAGAAGAAGAAAAAACGCCATAAGCATTAAACTTTTGGCGCTCCGCGCGGATTTCTTGGATCTGCGCTGGCCCCCCCTCCCTGGCGCGCGTAGCGCGCCGGGGGCGGCGCCAGAGGCGCCGCGAGGGGGGGGGGGCCCAGCGCGGATCCAAGAAATCCGCGAGGAGCGCCAAAAGTTCCTGTTTATGGCGTTTTCTTCTTCGAACTCGAAGAAGAATCGAAATCTTCTTCGAACTCGAAGAAGAAAAAACGCAGCGGCCACGTGATTCATGGCGCAGCGGCAGCGTGATGTTATGTTAAATGTTCATGGCGCAGCGGCCGCGTGATTATTGGCGGCGCGCGAAGGGGGGAAATGAGAAGGAGAAGGCCTTCTCAGAAGGCGGCGGCACTTCTCAGAAGCCCTCGCGCCTTCTGAGAAGTTTTTGCTCGTCGACGGGGAAGGCTCAGAACACTTCTCGAAGGCCGGTGGACTTCCGAGCCTTCTTATAGAAGGCCTTTTCCTCCTCACTTCCCCCCCTCGCTCGCCGCCGAGATTCATGACGCGGCCGCTGCGCCGCTGGAGCACCGACGCCGGGGCAGCGCCGGCGCCCTCCGGCGCGCCTGCGCGCCGGTGGCCCGGCCCGGCTGCCCGGCAGGCCAGCGGCACCAGCGAGGCCAGCGGCAGGCGGCGGCGGGCCTGCGGCCCTGCGCGCGCCGCCGCGGCCCCAGGCTCCGGTCGGGCCTGTCCCCCTACAGGGGGATTTCGGACGAAAACTAAGAAGCATTCCAATATATATATATATATATATATATATATATATACACACACTCAAACATAACCCAAAAAAAACAAGAAAAATCGTCCCCGAACTATTTTTTGGCTACGTTTGCATGACATATTCCTCCTGTGGAGGGGCATGACCGCCTTAACCCTGGGCGCAGCACCCCCTACAGGGGGATTTCGGACGAAGACTAAGAAACATTCCAAAAAACATATTCGAACATAGTCCCAAAATGCCAGAAGAATCGTGCCGGCACTATTTTGTGCCTACGCTTGCATGACATATTCCTCCTGTTTGGAGGGACATGGCCGCCTCAACCCCGGGCGCAGCACCCCCGGGCACCAGGTGCGCACAGGGCGGGCCCGCAGGCAGCCGCCGCGGCCCCGCAGCGGCGCCGCCACGCAGCGCCGCGGAGGCCCCCGCGAGGCGGCGGGCAGCGAGCGCCCAATGGCCGCCCGGGCAGGGCGCGCTCTTGGCGCCTGCGCCGCCCGCCTCCACGCGGCGTGGGCATCGCGGCCACGAGAGGCGAGGAGGCGAGAGGCGAGCAGGTCTGGGCTCGAAAAGAAGGGGAGGGGGAGGGGGAGGGGGAGGAGGAGGAGGAGGAGGAGGAGGAGGAGGAGGAGGAGGAGGAGGAGGAGGAGGAGGAGGCCGCGGGGCGACGCGCGCGCGCCGCCTCCAAAGGGCGGCTCTCTCTCTCTCTCTCTCTCTCTCTCCAGCTCGCCGCTGGGGCGGTCGTGGCTGGAGCACCGCGGCGGCGCGGCGCTCCCCGACGCCCCGGGCGGCGCCGGCTCCGACGGTGAGCGCCGCCGTCGTCGACGGCGACGTCGCCGTCGCCCTCCTCCCCCCCTCCCCGCAGGGTGGAGAGACGGAGGGGCGACCGACGACGCCAACGACCCGCGCGTGATCGATGGCGACTACAGAGGGGTGAGGAGCAGGAAGAGGAGGCGCAGCAGCAGCAGGAGAGGCGGGAAGGAGGAAGAAGCGGGAGGCGGGGGGCGGGGAAGGCGATGATAAATGGGAGGTGGAATAGTAGGAGGGGGAGGAGAAGAAACGAAGGTGGAAAAGAGCGGGAAACTTCCCGAACGAAACGCAATGTCCGGGCAAGAGGAGAATGAAAATGTGTTGGGCAGGGACCGCCTTTCACGGTTTGTGTATAAAGAAAAAACATGTACGGCCCTACTCGGCTCGGAAAACATGTGCTGCGTGGCAACACGCAGAAAAATGGCGTTGCTCCACTGCTTGAAGGGGAGAGGCTGGTTGTCTTTTTTACTTGCCTACAGCACACTCAGACGTTCAAGTGCCCTGGGGATCACAAAAAACTAATTTCTGGATCCGCCGTATTTTATCAGTCGCCGCTTCGAAGTCCCCTTTGGCTGCTAGCCCCGACGGCACCCAGAAGCGCTTGCCGAGCATGATGTCGCCGGCCCATTGTCCGCAAAGTCCGCGTCATGCTCGGGATTACCGCAACAGCGCCAGCCCAGCGTAGCTACCGAACCGGCCACACTGAGGATCGCGCTCTCTTGTACTTCAAGATCCCCACCAGCCATCTGGGCGGAGGTGGTTTAGAGCGCGTCGCGTCCTCTTCCAGTCACCCTTCTCCTCCTTGCCTTCAGGGGAGAATACACCCCTGCTCCTTGTGAATATAAGCACCCCCTCCCTCACAGGACCGACCGCCGACCCGAAACCATGCCAGCACCCCCCCACCATCCCTGCCAAAAAACAAAATGATCCTGGCAAAACAAAACTGCGGCAACTTGCGACAACACAACATTATCGTGGCGAAGGACCCAACCATATGCAGTTGTGAGTACCGCGTTGTGGGCACCGCTTTCGGTGAGGCGCCCCATGGGGCCACGAAACGCGTGAGGGGTGTACCGAAATGGGCAGGGAACCGCATGCGGACCCTGCCACCGGGGCCTTCGGTGGAGCTCCCTCTGGGCCCGCGGAACGTGCGAGGGGTGTGCCGAGATTGGCGGAGGACAGCATGGGGACCCTGCCGCTGGGGCCTTCAGCGGAGCTCCCTATGAGGCCACGAAACGCGTGAGGAGTGCGCCGAAATGGGCGGGACACCGCATGTGGACCCTGCCACTGGCCCTGCCACTGGGGCCTTCGGTGGACCCTAGGGGGTCACGAAGCGTGTGAGGGGGTGTGCCGAAATGGGCGGGGAACCATATGCGGACCATGCCACTGGGACCCTCAGCGGAGCCCCCTAGCCCACAAAAGACGTACGCGGCCAGCCACGTACATGAATAAGACCCCCTTAGTTCGCGAGACCAACCTCGTGAAACGAACGTTCGCGCAATGCGCACTGTCGAAACTAGCGTGGATTCGTACTTATTTCGTTTCTGACCTATGGGACCACGAAGCGTGTGAGGAATGTGCCGAAATGGGCGGTGGACCACATGTGAACCCTGCCACTGGGGCCTTCGGTGGAGCTCCCTATGGGGCCACGGAGCGTGTGAGGGGGGTGCCGGACTGGGCGGGGAACCGCATGTGGACCCTGCTGCTGGGGCCTTCGGTGGAGCTCCCTATGGGTATGGGGCCACGGAACGTGTCAGGGGTGTGCCGAAATGGTGAGGGGGACCGCATGTGCACCCTGCCACTGGATCCTTCGGGCAGAGGTGGGAGGAGGAAGAGGTGGCCAGGAGGAAGGAGAGGACGCGGGGCGCTGTCTCTTCAAAGCGAGGGCCCAACACCACAGGATGTTTGGGAAAAACATGCGCGGGCTCCCTGCGATCTTTCTGCATTTTCTTATGATAGTTGCGGGGCTCCAGACGTGTGAGATAAATCCCCACTTCTTTCCTCGGGGATCTGCTGACCCGGGTCAATCCAGACCCAGGTCAGTCAGGCCTTGCAGAATCCTGCGAAATCCTGCACCCAAACCCGAGTCAATGCGAAGGATCCTGTAAGATCCTGCAGGATCCTGCGCCCAAGCCCAGGTGGTCAGTGCGACCCTGGCCCTGCAGGATCCTGCAAGATCGGCCGCTCTGGCTGACCCCCGTCTGCATTGACCCCCGTCTCGAGGCTCCCGACCAGGAGGATCTGGGACGGGCCTGGGGGTCGGTTCGCGACCCACGGACCCAGGACCCAGATCTGAGTTTTCGTCTTCCCCCCCCCCACTTCCCATCTTCTCCTCTATCTTTATCCTGGGGGTCGCCGCGTGGTTTTGTGTCTGTGTGTGCATCTTCCCCTGGGGTCCCTGGGGGTCCCTGGGGGGGAATCCCCCCCCCCAGGGACCCCAAGCAGGCAACTTGACCCCTTCACGCCCTCGCCCCAGACGGCCGCAGGGGTGAGCTCGCCACGAGGGGCTCCCGCCCCGCCGGGCTCCTCCTCTCGGACTCAAGTACGGCCCGGGTGACCAAAAAGCCCCAAGGACAGCTCGATGCAGCCCCATTGCAGGGCCCCGAGAGACCCCGAAGACGGTCCACGGCGTTTCTGGGACGACCTGGGAGACTGCGAGGACGCCCCAAAATAAGGCTCTGAGAAGCTGCCCAGGAGAGCACCGGGAGCAGTATCCTGGCGAAGGACTCAACCATATGCAGATGCAAGTACAGCGTTGTGGCGCCGCTTTAGGTAGAGCTCCCTCTGGAGCCACGAAACGTGTGAGAAGTGTGCCGCAGTGGGCGGTGAACCGCATGCGGACCCTGCCACTAGGGCATGCGGCTGCTAAGCAATATAAAGTACCCCTAACCCTTTGTGAGGGGACCTAAGTTTGGAGGGCCAAAAACATTAGGGATAGGGGATCTGCTCTGCAGATGTATCAAACCAACCCGCCCAAATGTAGTATCCCTAATGCGAAGGCGGGGACCTAAGTGAGGCCACGTCTCCATCGTGTTATTAGGATTAGGGTTTCTGATGTTCTCGATGATTCGGTGGAGCTCCCTATGGGGCCACGGAACGTGTAAGGGGTGCG